GCAAAAATGTGTTTCTCTAGATTCACATTTGTCCCAACCTGGAATGATTTGTATACAAAAACAAAATCCTTATATCCTCAAGAAAAGACATTTTTTAAAAATGCAGCTGGGCATAGTGGCATAATCAGTGGCTCAGGAGGATCTCAAGTTCAAAGTAATTTAGCAAGATCCTGTCTCAAAATAAAAAGGGTCTGGTTGTGGCTCAGGTTAAGCCCCCTTGGGTTCAATTCCAGGTACAAAACAAAACACCAGAACTTTGTAAATGTCAGTTGTTAAAAGAATATCTTTAGACAATCTGGCAGCAGTAACACACACCTGTAATCCCAGAGACTCAGGAGGTTGAGGCAGGAGGATCCCAAATTTGAGGCCAGCCTTGGCAAGTTCAAGGCCAACCTCAGCAATTTAGCAAGACCCTGTCTCAAACTACAAACATAAAAAGGCTGGGGAATGTAGCTTAGCAGTAAAATGCCCTTTGGTTCAGTCCCTAGCCCGTGTGTGTGTGTGTGTGTGTGTGTGTGTGTGTGTGTGTGTGTTTGTGTGTGTGTGAGAGAGACAGAGAGAGAGAGAGAGAGAGAGAGAGAGAGAGAGAAAGCAGATTTAAAGATCAAGAAGTTTAATCTAACTGAAGGGAAAGAGCAGAAAAGAACTAAAGAAAGAATCACATGTGTACCTCTTCCTTCTTTTTTTAAAAAATTGTTTTTTACTTTCTCACTAAATTGGAAAGGCTGGCCTCAAACTTGTCATCCTCCTGCCTTAGCTTCCCGAGTTACTAGGATTACAGGAATATGCCATTATGTCCAGCAACCAGCCTTCTCCTTCTTTTAAAATTCAGTTTTTATAATGACAAATTATAAAATTATCAAATTATAAATTTTATAATTGACAAATTTTGATTGTATATATTTATGGGGTAGAAAGTGGTATGATATTGTATATAATGTGAAATGACTGAATAGAGCTAATTAACAATCCATCACCTCAACTATTTTTTATGTATTAAAAAATGTATTGCTCCTGTCTAACTAAAACATTGTACCCTTTGACCAACATCTTCCTGTTCCCCCACACCCCTCAGTCTTTGGTAACCATGCCTGTAATCCTAGCTACTTGGGACACTGAGGCAGGAAGATTGCATGTTCAAGGCCAGTCTGGGTAACTGTCGCAGTCTGGCTGGGCAAAAACCCGGAAGGTGACAAGCAACTTGTGAAGATTGAAACAGTGGGAGCCCCTTTATTACAGGACAGCAGAGGTATATATACCCAACTAATTACACACAGCTTAACTTAATTAACATCATCTAGATACAGCAGTCAGTCATTAAGGAATCCTCATCATCTTAATGGCTCGGTGGTGTTGGCTCACAACCTACTCCTCCTGGCAAAGTGCCAGGTGCCATCTTGACTTGGTTGTGGCCCTCAACAGGTAACTCAGCAAGACCTCATCTCAGAATGAGAAGGAAAAGGAGAAGGAGCAGTTGCTCTGGAGTATGACACACTGAATTAAGTTTGATCTCTCTCTCTCTTTCTCAATTTTTGTGTTACTGGGGATTAAAACCCAGAGGTGCTCTATTACTAAGCTATGTTCCTAGTTTTTTTTTTGTTGTTGTTGTTTGTTTGGTACTGGGGATTGAATTCAGAGGCACTCAACGACTGAGCCACATCCCCAGCACTAGTTTTTTGTGTTTTTTTTAGAGCAAGAGTCTCACTGAGTTGCTTAGTGCCTTGCTTTTGCTGAGGCTGGCTTTGAACTCGTGATCCTCCTGACTCAGCCTCCTGAGCCGCTGTAATTACAGGTGTGCACCACCACACCTGTCCTCAGCTCTTTTTACTTTATTTTGAAACAGAGTCTCACTAAATTGTCAAAGCTGGCCTTGAACTTGCCATCCTCCTGCCTTAGCCTCCCAAATAGCTGGGATTATAGTTGTGTGCCACCATGCCTGACTTTGAGGTCTCATTTTTGCATATTTTTGTACTTCACCTTTTTTTTCTTCTCTTGTGGTGCTGGGGATCAAACCCAGAGCTTCATGCTAAGCATGCGCTCTACCCCAACCTCTCTTGCACTCTTCTTCTTTTAACTTTATCAAGAGTATTTGATTGGTAGTGAAAAAAAGAAAAACAAAATAAAAAATAAAAAGAGAAACCTCCGAAGTTCATCACAAAGTTTTATGAAATTAGCACTCTAGAAAAAGGACAAAGTCTAGTTTGTTGGCGGGTCCTCAAGTTCTTTATGTAAAGCACATAAAAATAGCCTTTGACTGGCCAAGTATAAAAAAATGTTAAGCACTTTTAGGATGAACATTCCTCCTACTTCACAGCCAATATCCATGTATCTGTTATGGTATTCCCAGAGAAGACTGGCATGTGGCTCAGCTAAACTGGTGGGGAAGACTTCTCCGGGGAGTTTCCAGACCTCCAGATCGGGACAGGGCTACAACATTTGTCCCTCTTGTAATGAGGCTTCTGGATTCTTGGACTGAACAGCTACTAATTTTCCCATCTCACCAACCTGCAAATGACCATTGTGGGACTATTTAGCCTCTGATTGTGTGAGCCAATATAATAAATTCCTTCTTAGGCTGGGGTTAGTGACACATACTTATAGTTCTAGCTACCAGGGAGACTGAGGCAGGAGGATCATTTGAGTCCAGCAGTACAAGACCAGCCTGGGCAACACAGAAAGACCTCATCTCAAAAAACAAAACAAAAAAACACCATCACCAAAAATCTCCTTTTAACAACTGTGTTTTCTTTTTGTTTGGTTCCTCTAAAGAACCCTGACTAATAGACACTATTAGGAAGCAATTTTCATCCCTGAGGAGTTCTGGGAGAGAGGGTCTCTCAAGTCAGGATGAGCAAAAGTCTTGACACACATCACAGAAATGAATTTAAGAACATGTCAGTAAGAGGCAGATAGATTTATTTAGGAAAGCAGAGACACATTCAAGGGAGAATGAAGGCCATATGGAGAGTGAGATGTTCTGGGAGTGAAAACAAGTACTATACATTTTAAGGAAGAATTTGGGGCATCTTGAGAGCAAGAGAAAGCAACCCTTTTGCTGGGGGTGTTCAGTAGCTAAGGACTGAACTAGAAGTGGAGTCAAGGTGCAGTTATGCAACTTCTCACCAATTTTCCCTGAACTTGGGCATTGCCCTCACATCATGTTACCTTTGCCAGGAATGACACAGGTCAAGGGTACGCCCTGGGTTGCAGGAGTGCTTGCTGCTTGCTTTACATTCTAACAGTTTGTGGGTGTTTTCTGCATTCCTATGGTTAAAGGGCACTTCTCTCTTTTTTTATATATATATTTTTAGTTTTTTTTTTTAATTCAGCAGAACTTTATTTTATTTATTTAGATGCGGTGCTGAGATGGAACCCAGTGCCTCACACATGCTAAGCAAGGGTTCTGCCACTGAGCTACAGCTACAGCCCCTCTTTCTTCCCTTTGATACCAGGGATTGAACCCAGAACCCAGAAGCACTTAACCACTAAGTTACATCTCCTAACCCTCTTTTTTTTTGGGGGGGGGAGTACTGGGGGTAGAACTCAGGGGCACTTACCCACTGAGCCACATCTCCAACCTTATTTTGTATTTTATTTAGAGACAGGGTCTCACTAAGTTGCTTAGCACCTTGCTTTTGCTGAGGCTGGCTTTGATCCTCCTGCCTCAGCCTCCCAAGCTGCTAGGATTACAGGCATGCGTCACTGTACCCGGCCATAGGTGCTTCTCTTCTGAGACTCAGCATATCTTCCTTTTTCTATGTCTCCAAATTGCTATCTCACCTATTCTCAGTAAATACTGCTAGAATGGGTCCTCAGCAGGAGGACAAGCCTCAGAACAACAGGAATGGAAGAGGGTAGTGATGCAGAGTCTTTTGCATGGAGCTGGTCTGTCCTCTGGGACCACCAGCATTTTCAAGTGTGGCTGAAGCTCACAGATGATATTTTATGCAACTTCTTTCAGATCATGTGTGATATTTAAGAATGAAGTAAAACCTGGATTTTTGTTTTCTTTTTTTTATTTTCCTTTAATTTATTGACTGATTGATTTTTGAGACAGGTTTTCACCTTGTTGTCCAGGCTGATCTTGAACTCCTGGATTCAAATGATCCTGCAACCTCAGCCTCCCAAGTAGCTGGCACTATAGGCACATGCTCCTGTGCCCAGCTTCAAACCTGTTTTATCAAATCATACCATGAAATATTTATTCTTCCTCTTATTTCATCTTATAAA